TGTGTGTGTGTGTGTGTGTGTGTGTGCGCGTCGGCGCGCGCGTGTGTGTGTGTGTGTGTGTGTGTGTGTGTGTGTGTGTGTGTGCGTGTGTGTGTGTGCGCATGCGTGCGTGTGTGTGGATGCGCGTGCGCGCGCGTGTTTGTGCGTGTGTGTGTCGATATGTGTTTTTACGTTTATAAAGTAACGTGAGTTACCCTTATCGTCGAAGCCGTGTGTGATTTCGTGCCCGATTGCAACTCCAATTCCTCCGTAGTTCAGCGATCTGGTTGGTGCGGAGAAAAGGCAATTAGTGAACATTTTAGCATTGGTTTTTAGATCATTTAAGGTGGGCGCGATTCGCGATCGGCGACAAAGGTAGACCGCCATAACGAAGCCAACAAGCCATGTCGTACCCGCGAGCGGCTCGTTAAAATGTTAGAAGTTATTGCACGATCATTGTCTCTGTAACTCTGCAAAAAACTGGCGAGTAACTAACACGTACGACGTGGGTGGACAGAGAAAGAAAGGCAAAGAGGGAGGGAGAAATAAAATTAGAGAGAGAGAAAGAGCCAATAAGTGTGAGAAGGGGGGATGGATGAAGGGAGAGAGGGAAGAAGGAAAGGGAGGGAGGGAAAGAGATAGCGAGTGAGCGAGCGAGAGAGAGCGAGTCGGAGAAGGGGGGGGGGGGGAACTTGACCCTGCCGTGAGTTGTCAGGTGTACCTGCCACGCCACTCATTCGCATCACCAAGCTCATTGTTAGCGCTAATACAGTATTTGCATCATCTAAGCTGAGGGGCGCTCGAATTCTCGCAGATATGCATGTCAACCCATCAAAAAAATGCTTTGTACTTACTTAGGAAAGTGCGCGCTGTAGAATAGCGGCTGCAGAATCCCGGCTGGAATCACTGCGGAGAAGCAATAAATGTTGCGAGCAATACTTGGGTATGGTGGCCCAAATAGCCATTAAATTCTTTACTAATGACTGGGGCAACGATTATCACTAATTCATGATTTTTCTCAGAAGCCCGGGATGTGATAGATGGAGATTTGATAGCTATCTGGGCTGCCACCATAATTAGGAGAGACAGTGTGTGTGTGTGTGTGTGTGTGTGTGTGTGTGTGTGTGTGTGTGTGTGTGTGTGTGTGTGTGTGTGTGTGTGTGTGTGTGTGTGTGTGTGTGTGTGTGTGTGTAT